GCGGCAACGGGCAGCACAGGCTCGGGCAGCAACAGGCGGCAACGGGCAGCACAGGCACGGGCAGCAATGGGCGGCAACGGGCAGCACAGGCACAGGCAGCAACAGGCAGCAACGGGCAGCAACAGGCAGCACAGGCACGGGCAGCAACGGGCGGCAACGGGCAGCACAAGCACGGGCAACAACGGGCGGCAACGGGCAGCACAGGCATGGGCAGAAACAGGCAGCAACGGGCAGCACAGGCACGTGCAGCAACAGGCAGCAACGGGCAGCACAGGCACAGGCAGCAACGGGCGGCAACAGGCAGCACAGGCACGGGCAGCAACAGGCAGCACAGGCAGGCAGCCGTACCGAGTCCAGGAGCGGCGGCGCATACAGCTGTAGGGTCGGCGCCGTGGGCTGCTGCTGGGGCGGCTCGCGGGGTCCAGGGGCGGCTGCTCCAGGGGCGGCTGCTCCAGGGGCGGCGCTGGTGAAAGGTAGGCCCGCGCGCGGCTGCAACGCTGGCGCGGGCGCAGGTGAGGCAGAGGCGGCGGCCAGGGGGGAGAGCGCCGCGACGAGCAGGGACGGCGCCCAAGGGGTGCCGCTACGAGCAGGGGCGACGCCCCAGGGTCGCCGCGACGAGCAGGGGCGGCGTCCACGGGGCGCCGCGACGAGCAGTGGCGACGCCTCGCGGGTCCCGCAGGGGCGTCGTGACGAGCAAGGCGACGACGTGCGGGTCCTGTAGGGGCGTCGCGACGAGCAGGAGCGGCGACGCCCGGGTCCCACAGGTGCATCGCGACGAGCAGGAGCGGCGCCACGCAGGGCGCCGCAAAGTGGAGGGTACGGGCGGGTAAAGCAGGCCCGCGCGTGGACATGAGGAAGGCGCGCAGGCGGCGTGAGGGCAGGCCGCGCGCGGGACAGGAAGACGCCGCGCGCCCAGGGTGCACGGCGGGCAGAGAACTGCTGTGCGCCCCGAGCACACGGCGGGCAGAAAATCGCCGTGCGCCACGCCTCGCGCCCGAGGCGCGCGGCAGGACGATAGGTGGCGGAAGCAAGAAGGCAGCAGGAAGATACTTGCTCTGATACCATGTTGAGATACTAGCGTGACTTAGGCTTAAGAGCCATTGCTAGTTAGTTTCTTAGTAGCTTAGGTTTAGGGTTGATTAATGTCGAGAAAGTTGGAAAGGAGAATGAGAGCTCCACTATAGGTTTGCAAGAACATATAGCAAAGGAACAAAGAAGGTGCACCACCAAACAAAGTTTATAATAACTACACTAACTGCAGCTACAGGCAGTTACAGATATATTCTGACACATCGATTACCGAGCGCTCAACAGGGTAACAGTCAAGTCGCGGTACCCCATTCCCCGCGCCGACGAACTGATCGACCAACTGCGAACAGCACGGGTGTTTTCGAAAATAGACTTACGGGGGGGTTACCATCAGATTCGGGTCGAACCATCGGACTGCGCCAAGACAGCATTTAGGACTAGGTACGGGTCGTTGGAGTACACGGTGATGCCTTTCGGGCTGACCAACGCGCCCGCAACATTTCAGATGACCATGAACGAGGCGTTTAGGCCACTCTTAGATAAATGCGTGATAGTTTACCTCGACGACATCCTCGTCTACAGTCGCGACAAGCAGCAGCATTTAGCGGATCTCGAAGCAGTATTTAAAGTTTTAGCGGAACATCGGTTACTAACCAAGGGCTCTAAGTACGAGTTTTTTCGGGACAAACTAGAATTTTTGGGGCACGTTATTTCGGAGGCTGGAGTTGAAATCGACCCAAAGAAGCTGGATACGGTAAAAGCGTGGCGTCCCCCGATGAACATCACGGAACTGCAGAGTTTTTTAGGGTTCGTTAATTATGTTTGCCGGTTCGTCCCCGACATGGCACAATTGACCGCCCCGCTGACGGATTTACTGCGAAAAGGGGTCGTTTTTACGTGGGGGGAGAAAGAGCATGCTGCCTTCTCTGCCCTGAAAAATGTTCTTTGTTCACCGCCCGTCCTGCGCATCGCCGACCCACACCGCCCCTTCGAGGTTGTTACAGACGCAAGCGACATCGCCATTGGAGCCGTACTGCTACAGGACTTCGGCAACGGCCTACAGCCCATCGCATACGAGTCACGAAAACTGCATCCGCTCGAGCGAAATTACCCGATACACGACCGCGAAATGCTCGCGATCGTGCATGCGTTCAAAGTGTGGCGCTGCTACTTGACCGGCGCAGACGTGACAGTACGGACAGACCATCGATCACTACAGTACCTCCGCGCACAGCCCCACCTTAACCCACGACAGATTCGGTGGCTCGATTTCCTCGAGTCAAACTTCCACTACACAGTCACCTATAAAAAAGGAGCCTCGAACATCGCCGACGCACTGACGCGCCCCACTGCCCAGATCCACGCGATACTACTCGCCCAGACCAGCCCGCTACTGACAGGACTATTTACCCACGGATATCAAACGGACCCATTCTTCACAGGAGGAAATTCGCAGCAGTTCGCAGCAGCCAAGGGAGTCTATTACGTAAAAGACGGGACCGACCGCATCTGGGTACCAGGGTACACACTGCTACGGGAATTACTATTACAAGAGGCACATGACGGGGTCACCTCGGGACATTTCGGGGTAGAGAAAACACGGCAGCAACTGCAGCGGTATTATTACTGGCCCGAAATGTTGACCGACGTGCAGCGACACGTGGCATCGTGTCCCACTTGCCAGATCATGAAGTCAACACGGAAGCGGCCGGTGGGACAGTTGCAGCCACTCCCACCTCCAGAGCGTGCTTGGCAGCAGGTGACGATGGACTTTGTCACGGGGTTACCGGCCGGGGCGAGTGGAAATGACGCGATCCTGGTCGTCGTCGATCGACTGACGAAAATGGCACACTTCGCAGCCTGCAAAAAATCGATCACAGCCAAAGAAACAGCCCGCCTCTTCATCTCTACCGTCGTTCGACTGCACGGGATACCAGCATCAATCATCAGTGACAGAGACACGAAATTCACCAGCAACTTCTGGCGGAACCTGTGGCAGCAGTTCGGCACGCGACTACAGTTTAGTTCATCGTACCACCCTGAAACAGACGGACAGACAGAACGGACAAATCGGACCATGGAACAGCTCATCCGAGCCACGTGCGACGACCCAAACACGTGGGAACAGCAACTGCCACTCATCGAATTCGCATACAACAACGCCCCATCCGCCACGACCCAACAGTCACCGTTTTACCTAAATTACGGACAAGACCCAACAGTACCCATGACCCCGAATCCCGACAACCCGGTTCCACGCGCGCAACAGTTCACCGAAAATTTGCAAGCAGCACGGATCAGGGCAGCAGACACAATTGAAAAAGCTAACATCATCGCTAAACGCAACGCCGACCGCCACCGCAGACCTGTCACTTACCAGCCCGACGACTTAGTTTTGCTCGACACCCAAAATCTCCGACTGCCCATCACCCCGAAACTCCGCCCCCGATGCTGCGGGCCATTTCGCATAAGCTACATGCTTACACCTGTCACCGCCCACCTCCTCCTCCATGCTCACTGGTACGTCAGCCCCTCGTTCCACGTCGGTCTGCTTCGCCCTTACGTCCCGTCCACGAGCCAACTGCCACGCAATCGCCCAGCCAGCATGACAAGACCACCGACTGAACCAATCATCACCCCCGAGAAAATCCTGAGTCACAGAGTTCAAGCCCTCGAGGAGCCCGAAGGATCGAGTTCTTACTCCGCTGGAGGACCGTACACCCACCGAAGACAATTGTGTTCCCCTGGACAGAATCGAAAACCACCCCGGCCTCACCGAATATCTGCGCAGCCGGAATTTCAGGGATGTACCATATGGCCCCGGATATAGGCGCCGTCCGATTAAAGGCGTCGGCGCCTATATCTGGAGCATGGCGCTTATGGCCGTTCCTCGATTATAAGCGCCCCCCCCTGTAAAACCCTGATTTCTTATGAGCGCATGTATAATTTTATTCCTTCAATCCTGATTAAAACAGTAACGAATTTCGAAATTCAAGCGAGTCAGCACCCATTTTCACTTTGTTTGACTTTCAAGGTCCTGACTGGTTTCGCGTCCAGTCAGGTTGAGGTGGCACGCGGGCAAATTGACGTGCGAAAAGCTATGTGCAGCGTCAGAGATTCGCCCTCACACGATTCAAATTTAGGACGCTATTGAATGTCGACTCGATTGAACCTACGAGACAGAAATGTACATTTTAATGCATTTAAGTTGTATTTCTGTATTTGTCATTATATAAGCGCCGGCGCTTATGGCCGATACTCAATTAAAAGCGCCCCCACAAAAAAAAATCCGATTTTATTATAAGCGCATATGCGCTACTATCCGGGGTAATACGGTACACGCACTTTCGTAAGGAGGACCTCCTTAAGGGGGAGGGTTAGTGTAAGGAAAACCTCTTTTTCCTTACTTCGCGTCTCTGCTCAACGCGTACATCACTGTAGCGCCACAGTCAGCACCGTTACCACTCGCAATCCTCGCATCGACAATCCGCCCGCCACCTTCGCACGTCGCACCCCGACCTCATGGCTCGGCTGGTAACCCGCGCTCCGGGCCTCCGCTTCGACACTTTTCCCAACCTCAGTCCCAGGCCCGTCTCGCGACAACCACAGTCCATTACCGTTACCACTGTAGTTTCGCTATATATTCTTCGCTCATACGGTACCGTACCTTCACTCATTGTACTCTTGTTTCGATAGTGCAATTCTCGTTCGTTCACTCAATTGCACTCGTAACAAGTAGCAATTTATCCTTGTGGATGTGAATGGTCTCATCATCATGCGCACTCAACATTACAAAACATTACCCTGATTTGGTTGGAAATCATAAGCTCTCGATTAGCGGGAACTGTGTGAATGTGTTTTCCCAGTCTCTAACAACTGTAATGAACCTTTACAAAAAAGCATACAGCACACACATAAACACACATGCATAATGGGAGTGGTGGAATGGAATGAGGGGCGGCAGCAGTAGATTACAGGGGCGCGGTGGAAGGAGATGGGGCGGCACCAGTTACGGCGGAATCGGCAGTAGTTAGGGTTGCAGCAGGAGCAGAGGTTGTGGGATTTGAGGCAGGAGAAGGGGTGTGACGAACAGCTGAGGCAGGAACAGAGGCAGGAGCAGAGTCAGGAAACACAGAGGAGGGTCTGGAGGAAACGGTTTCTGGAAGAGGAGGTGTGTGGGGCATGGATGGTGGGAAGGAGGGGCGGGCGGGGTGATGGAGGGTAGTAGGTAAATCTCTGGGAAAAGAAGGACTGGGGGCAGAGAGAGCGACGTGAGGGTGAGAGTGAGTGGGTGCGAGGTGGGGCTGGTGAAAGTGGAGTGATGGGTGCGCTGCAGCAAGAGCGCCGGATGCGGAATAAGTCGGGTCCGTGCGAGATTTGATTGGTGGGGAAGGGACAGGGGGGATGGAGGAAGGAGGGCGTGTGGAAGGAGGAGGGTGTGAGGAGGGAGGAGGGTGAGAGGAGGGGGGAGGAAGAGAGGAGGGATGAGGATGAGTGGAGGAAGATGGATGAGAGGAGAGGGGATGAGAGGAGGGAGGAGGATGAGAGGAGGGAGAAGGATGGGAGGAGGGAGGAGGGTGGGTGGAAGGAGGTGGATGCGAGAGGGGAGGATGAGAGGAGGGCGGAGGATGAGTGGAGGGGGGAGGATGAGAAGGAGGAGGATGAGAGGAGGGAGAAGGATGAGAGGAAGGAGCAAGATGAGAGGAGGGAGGAGGATGAGAGGAGGGAGGAGGATGAGAGTAGGGGGGAGGATGAGTAGCTTTGACCTGCTGACCAGCTGAAGACAGCGGGTGAGTTGGACCATGGGAGGAAGGAGCAGAGTGGTGGTAACCGAGCGGTTGCATATAACCCGAGGAGGCATAGGGCACAGGAGATGCTGAGCCGTGCATGTGTGGCGAGTGTGAATGCACGCCTGGGAGAGCAGACCGGGCGGACGGGCCAGAAGGAGTCGATGGCATGGAGGAGGAGGTGGATGGCCGCATGCTACTGCCTGGCATCCTGCCTGGCATGCTGCTTGGCATGGTGCTTGGCATGCTGCTTCCATGCATGGGCCCACCATACATGGTATACGGTCCCACAGGCCTTCCCATTCCATAGCTCCCGCCGCCATACCCATACGCATGGCTGGTATACCCTGATGCGTCCTGGCTCTGCATGTAACCCTGAGAGTGTGGGCGGGTGTGTGGGTGCGAGTGGGCGTAGTGAGGCGGCACAGGGATGTGGCTAGGGAGATGGCTCGGCGTGAGAGGCAGCAGGTGGGGCGGCAGGAACGGGCCTTGTGGGGCGCCGCGCATGTACGCTGCTACTTCCTCGGCATAGTGTGTGTTGATCTCAAACACCAGATGCACACCGCCCATCTGCCCACCACACGAAATCCACCAGAGGGAAGAGGGGAACAACTCACAGACTCGAGAGGCTGGGATGGGATGAGGTGGCACGGGGTCACGTGGCAAGGGGTGACGTGGCATGGGTTGACGTGGCATGGACAGAGGTGGCATGGAATAATCTGGGATTTCAAGCCCGTCATGCTTGCTATTGCTACACACACACCACCAACCAATGCGAGCAGCATGCATGCAATGGTCGCTGCTGTGCTGACCTCAATGAGGCAGCTGTTAGCGAGGATGGCCTGTTGTCCCGGCTCCACAGGCACCTTGTTGACCGTCACGTCCCTGCGCCCCTCGTTGCTCAGGTAGAAGCACGCATCCGCCCTCAGCTCTATCACCGCCTGCCCAGGAGGAGGGGCGCGGGGGCGTGGAGAAGGGGGGAGGGGAGGGAAGAGAGGAGGGAGGAGGGGAGGGAGGAGAAGAGGGAGGAGGGGAGGGGGGAGAGGAGGAATATGAACTTGTGAGTGCGAACACATGAGGCTGTGAATGAGATCTGATCTGCAGGGCCAGGAAGGTGGGTGGGTGCGTGGGTGAGTGGGTGCGTGGGTGGGTGCGTGGGTGGGTGCGTGGGTGCTCACCTGCAGCCGTGAGACCTTGTTGGCACGGCCCTCCTCTGACAGGTCTATGTCCACGTCATTGTCCTCCGTGCGCCGACCTATTGACACCTGGCACGCAGCCATCGGCGCGCAGCACGCAGGTTGCATGAGAAAGGGGAGGGGCAGAGAATGGGAAGAGGGTGGGTTCAATTCAAGGAGGAAATGGGCAAGTGCGTTTTGAGACGACTCATTCCCACTCCAATCACCCACTCCCACTCCCATTCACACCCACACCCATACCCACACCCTCCTAACCCCCACTCCCTTCCTCTTCCACACACACATGCCCACACACGCACGCACCTCGGTCTTGAACATGGGGAAGCGGGTGCGGCGGCCATAGAGCAGCGCGAGGGCGCCTCTGCGCGTGAGCTGCCTGCGCATGGCTGCTGCACTGCACCGCTCCAGAGGCAGCACCGCGTGGCGCTGCGACCCGTACAGCATGCGCGCCGCTGGTAAATGGCGGAGGAGGAGGAGGTGGGGAGGAGGAGGGGGGGGGTGCGGGTGGGGTAGACAGGTGGGCGCAGAAGGAGGGTGGGTGTGTGGAGACGGGGGAGCAGCGCGCGGGAGGGGGAGGGGGAGGGGGCAGAGAGAGCAGTGCGCAGAGAGAAAAGCATGAGGAGTTGGTCATTTGTGAAGAACGGGTACGGAGCTGAGATGCTAGCCTTATGGAAGATGGAGAGGGCGGTGGAGGCAAGGGATAGTTCGAGCCACCTTGCATGCGACCGGCGTGACGTTCAATGCATGCCCCCATCCCCCCCCCATCCGCCCCATCCCCCCCATCCGCCCCATCCCCCCCATCCGCCCCATCCGCCCCATGAGTGAGATGGGTGCGTGATGCACCTGTGCGGGCGGGCATGAGCTCGTCAGCAGAGGGATCCAGGTCCATGTCCAGCACCTGGTGCCAGGGGAAGTGGGGAGGGGAGGGGAGGGGAGGGGAGGGGAGGGGAGGGTGTGAGCTCAAGAGGAAAAGTCACGTGATGCAGAACCCGAGTTCATGCCCAAGGGGATGCAAGGGGGAGCGGGGTCGAAGTGAAACGGAAGGAGAAGGAGGAGCGGATGGTGGTGTGCAGTGCGGAACAGAAGGAGTGAAGCAAGTACTTGCTGCTGAGCTGTGACCTTGAGCTGTGACCTTGAGCTGTGACCTTGAGCTGTGACCTTGTGCTGTGACCTTGTGCTGTGACCTTGCGCACCATCTCCTCTGCATCTGAGAAGTGAAGCGAGTCCGTGTCACTCTCTGGCTCCTCCTCCACTTCCCCCGGCCCCCCCTCTTCCCTCACCCTTCTGCCCCTCTGCTCAACACCCCTCCGCACCTCTTCTCCTCCTCCTCTTACCCCCTTCCCTTCTCCTCCTCCGCCTCCGCCTCCACCATCCTCTCCCCTGTCTCGCTGTTCCCCTCCATGCAACGGCACCCCGTCTTGTCCGCCCTGCAGTTCACCCACTAGAGCGCTCACACCACCACTCGCCAGCACACACAGCATGCGGTCAAAACTCGCCTCCTCCTCACCACTTCCACCCACACCCCTCCCCTTCTCCTCCTCCCCATTCCCCACATCCCCTTCCTCTCTCCTCGCATTATCATCATTATCTGCTGCTGCTGCTACTTCTGCTCCTTTTCCTCCACCACCCTCCTCTCTTTGTCTCTTCCTAGCCGCACGCCCCTTCTCCCCTCCGCGACCTTCCTCACCCACACCACCTTCCTCCTCCTCGCAACCCCCCACTTGCTGCCTCCCATCCCCAGCACCCCCTCCCCCTCCCCCTTCTCCCTTCCCACCTTCCTGCTTCCCCATTCTATCATCTCTCCCCCCCACCCCTACCCCAACGGCTCCTACTGCTCTCAACCCACCTCCTCCACGCCCCCCACAGCCGCCCTTCGCGCCATCTCTCTCTCGCCGCTTCCTCATTCTGTAATAAGCAGCACGCACCACTCTTGGCCTCCTCAAAACACCCCGGCGCCCCTCGCCCGTCCCCCTGCCCTCTCGCGCTGCTCCTTCCGCCCTGCTTCCATTACCACCGCCAGCAGCAGGCACATGGCGGCTATTCGCAATCAGGCCTGCTGCATTGCCGCCTTGCGAGTGTAGGGAGCGGGAAGCAGGGGTACCAGCACCACCAGCACCACCGGCACCACCAGCACCACCAGCACCACCCCCAGCACCACCCCCAGAACGATCATCCAACCCCCCAGCACCAGCAGCGCCACCAGCACCAGCAGTAGCACCAGGAAACACAGCCTCACCTCCAATCGACCTTCCCTCTCCCCTTTCCTCCCCTTCCCCACTCTCCCCCCCCGCTCCCACTCTTCCCCCGCCTTCCCATCCGTCGCCCTCCCCCGCGCCCCTCCCCATGGCCCTGGCGGCGTCTGCCATCTCCGCCTGGGCGATGCGCGCGGCCGCCAGGGGGCTCTCCAGGGGGTGGTACAGCACGGCGCGCCAGCGCGCGCGCAGCTCCTTCAGGGAGAAGCGCCGTGAGAACCGCAGCGCCCCGCGCGCCAGCGCCTCCATGGCTATGCCCGCCTGGGGGGGATGCGCGCGGAGACGAGGGGATGGGGGGGGGGGGGGGGGGGGGGAGGGAGGGGAGAGGGGGAGGGCGGTGGGGGAGAGGGAGGGCGGGGGCGGGCAAGGCTTCAGTAGATACACGCGATGAAAAGGAAGGTGTTCTTTTGGCGGACCGGGTGGATAATTCATGGGGGAAACGACTAGGGGTTGGGCGGCGGAGTGTGTCCCGTCCCCTCCCCAACGACTGGATCTTCTCTCCTTGAATGGCTCTCGTTGGATGGCTCTATTTGGGCTCCCTCCCTGCGCCACCCCGTCCTTCATACCCCAGTGCTCCCCTCCCTCCCTTCCAGCTTCTAGCCTCTCTGCACTCTTTCCCTTCTCCCCCCGCCCCCCCTTTCCCGAACCACCCATCACCTTCCGCCCTTCCCCCCCCACGCGCGCGCGCACCTCCATGGCGCGCCAGAGCGTGCGGTCGTCCGCGACGGTCCAGCAGGAGAAGTCCGGGGGCGGTTCCACCGCCGCCACCAGCCCGCCCGTGCCCACGCCTGGCGCTGCCGCAGCCGCCACCGCCGCCGCCGCTGCCGTCGCAGCGCGGGGTTGCGCTGCGGATCGCGCGCGGGGAGCGGGGCAGAGGGAGTGGGGAGGCGGGAGAATGGGACAGGAGGAAGGGCGGATGTGGGGAGGGTTGGGAGGGGTAAATGGGTGGAGTAATTTGATATGTACAAGGGAAGTGATAGCCCGGCGAATGATCGGAGGAGGAAGGCACGGTGGAACATCACGGTAACATGCGGTGGAGGGGGGCAACGGGGCGCACGAGGGGCGAGCGACGTTTTGAGGCGCTTGATGGGCGACGACGGCGGACTGGACGGCGCGGAGCGCCGCCGCATGGGGGACGACGGCGGACTCAACGGGGAGGGCCGGCGCGCGGAAGGAGCAGGGCGCATGGCGGTAGGTAGGACGATAAGGAGAACAGTCGCGGTATGGTTAGAACGGCGAGATTCGGTCTGCGTTATGACTCGCCGACTGGAGAAAATGAAGTTTGCTCATAAGGTGTTGCCACAGAGCAATAAAATGTCTTGGCGAGGCGCAGTTATCTTTTACGTACTGAGCAGCACCTGACTAATGGTGTGTGTAACTGACATGGGGACAGTGTAAAATGGCTGACCTCAAGAGGCCTTCTCCCACACTGAAAAAAATAATTCACTTTTGCACTGCACCTGAATTTAATTCTTAAAAGAAAAAAAAATCTTCCTGATTATACTTTGAAGAGCAACTAAAGGCTAAGTACAAGCAAATTGTTTAGTGAATAAGAACTCAGGCTTATACATCTACACTGTCGTGCTGCTTATACAGTGTTTCCAAACTCAACACTGTTCGTGGTGGAGGGCAATTTCGGTGCTAGGAGGAAGGAAGTGCATGCCGGAGGCGAAGAAAAAGTCAACAAGTTCATGCTCCCCCTACGACAATGTTCCCCCACCCCACCCCACCCCACCCCACCCACCACATCGTGGTGTTGCGCCAACATCCCTTGTCCCCTAGGTTGGGGCAAGGCGACCTTTGCTTTGCAGCAATTTGCACATGGCCGCCGAGTCGCACCAGATTCAGTCCATCCGATCACCAAACCTGGCCAACCGGAGAAGCCCAGGGTGCTCAGATCTGACGGTGGCCCACGTCACCTCGTGCTCGCGCCCCTACCCACCCATCACCGATCAGGCATAGGTCCAGCCAGGTTTATTCCACACCAATCCGGACACGGCAAGGGAGGAAGAGAGCCCTTCGCGTACAGACGGTGCCGAGGAGGAAAACAGCCCCTCTGCACTGCACTCGCCCACCAGACTACAAATCAGACTCAGCTCCTCGTTCTCTTTCACCTTGATCAACACAACTGGAACCTTCCGTCACCCCAGTGCAGCAGCGCAGACATCTTTTTCTTTACTTATCAGCCCTTTCGGCTTCCTCTCTTTCGCAGACATCTTTCTTATCTTTTTTGCTATTAGCAGCAGCATCATGGCAAGGCTCGTCACTGCTCTCCTTTGCGTCATGCTCGTAGTGATCTCCGGCGCGGTTGACGTGGCGGAGGCGAGAGTGAACCGCAAGGAGGTGCTACAAGCCATCAAAGTCCTCCGACGCTCGCCACGTCTTCCAAAGGCGCTCGCTTCATCTACGGCCCTCGAGGACCTCTGTAAGTCCGATGCTTCTGATCTACTAGTCAGTCTCCTTCCGTGCTATGATGCTACCGCTAAAATAGCGCCAGCGGCTAACATCCCTGCTTTTCACCATGCAAACGCCATTTCCTGCGTGACTCATAAACGTTTTTCAAATCGGAATCCCGCGTATCATCACGGCCCTGCTGGCCCACATTCTCCAGAAATCCTCTTCTCACCCATGATTCCCCTTCCCCTTCCCCTCCGCCCTGCGATTTCCTCCGCGCAGTTCGCACCGCCATGGGGAGCTCCAGCGGGCCCATGACGCTGCTCTTGCCCGCGGATATGGGATACGTGCAGTCGCGTCTCAACAACCAGGTGTTCACGCTGAAGCAGATGAACACCATTCGCAAGTACCACATCGTCAGCGGGCTCGTCAGAATCGCCGACATCCAGGCGCTGCCACGTGGCAGCACGCTGTCGACCATGGAGGGTTCCGCGATCAAAAAAATTACGCCGCCTTCGCTCCCCGTAGTGCTGTTCAAGGGGCGCGACGCGCTGCCGTCGATGGTGGTGGGAGGCGACGCGTATGTGGGGAAGACGCTTGCAGTGCATATCATATCCACCATGCTCATCCCCGCCGACGTCTAGACCATGAAGATCGCACTTTGTTGTTGCGGCGATAGGTACTCCAAGCAGCATCTCGCTGCATGCTGACTTCTCCTCGGTGCTCTGCTCGGTGTTCTGATTTATTCATGGCATTGCGGTGCCATGCATTATTTACCCGCGTTTTCCCTGCCATCCCCTATGGTGTCACGCCAGAGGGTGTCCATTGATGTGTGCAGCTGCTTGTTGCGCCAGCCGTTGGATTCTAGCTGGCTGTGTTTTTTTCTGCTTGTACTGAGTGACAGCATAGAGGAGTGCAGGGAAGATAATGTGTATGCTCTGTAGGCCCTTGTATTGCTTCTCTGAATATAATTACTTATTCCAGTATTGCTTCTCTGAATATAATTACTTATTCCAGAATACCGTATTGCTTTCTTTAGCTTCAAGGAGGTGCTGGTGGCTTGGGCTACAAGGTTTTTGGATCTTGGTTGCTAGGAGAGTCCTAGCCTAGCCAGCTTTTTGTCCTACCTACCTAAGCTCAGTTTCCCCTGATACCAGTACCATCCCTGGACCTACCAGAACAACGAAGCAGGAGTTCTGGTGGCATTGGTACACAAGCCTTGTCCTAATAAAAGTATGCTTCTTTTGCTGCACAAGCCCAGCAATTAGAGCGTGTTCCTATCCTCGCATCTAGATAACCTCGTATCAGGCTCACACTGAAAATTCCCCTAAACCCAAAACCTCTCGCTAGCGGTACCAGGCAAAAACAGCATTGTTGATACGAGGTTTCCTGATATGAGGCCGTAGGAACACGCTCTTAGGGCGTATTCCTACGGCCTCCTATCAAGAAACCTCCTATCAAGATTGTACCTTGTGGCGGGCTACTCGTTCGTCTTCGGTTCTCAGCTCCAGTTGTGAAGCTGAGATCTACGCCGGGGCCATGGCTGCACAGGAGCTTCGCTGGCTCACCTACCTGCTGACTGACCTTGGAGAGCCGCCTCGTTCTCCTCCAGTGCTGTACGTAGACAACAAGGCCATGCTGGCCTTGTGTCGAGAGCAGCGTCTGGAGCACAGAACGAAGCACATTGCTCTTCGCTACTTCCTTGCTCGTGAGCTACAGCAGCGTGGACAGTTGCGGCTTGCGTACGTGGCCTCTGAGGCCAACACTGCTGATGTGTTCACCAAGGCACTCGCGCCTTGTGACCATCAGCGCTTCTGCACCCAGCTGGGTCTTGTGCCTGTCTTGCCTCACTTGCTCTCCTCTTGACTTTACTTGTACTGTGACATATATATACCTGCTCTTGCTTGTCTAGTTTTGTATATATATGTCTGTACTCCTGCATGTGAACTGGCCTCTGGCCCTGCTCTTGTGCTCGGACTGTGTGGTGACTTTGTGATCCACCCTGAGCTTGCTTTGCTTTGCTTTGCTTGACTGGTCTTGTGACCCCTTGTTCTCCCCCACTTTGCCTATGGGGGTGTGTCAGATATATATGACATAGCTGTTGTAGGCTATAGTGGGGTAGCACATATGGGGTACAGCTTTCTAGGGTTTGCATTTGTACCCAACTTCCACTTAGTCATTCTCATTCCTGTTCTTTCGTTTCACACAGCAGGCTGCGTTCGACGCGCTCAAACTTTTCCTGACGACCCCGCCGGTTCTTCGGATAGCTGATCCTCACCGTCCGTTCGAGCTCGTCACCGATGCTAGCGACATTGCTGTCGGCGCAGTGCTGTTACAAGACTTTGGCGACGGACTACAGCCCATCGCCAACGAATCCCGCAAGCTGAACCCGGCCGAGCGAAATTATCCGGTTCATGACAAGGAGTTACTGGCGATCGTCCACGCGTTCAAGATCTGGCGCTGCTATCTAACCGGGGCCGACGTAACAGTACGGACAGACCACAAGTCACTACAGTTCATTCGTGCACAGCCGACACTGAACCCACGACAGACCCGTTGGCTTGACTACCTCGAGTCCAACTTTCACTACAGAGTCACCTACAAACGGGGGGCAAATAACATCGCCGACGCCCTGACCCGTCCATTTGCCCACACAGCCGCTGTACTGATTACCCAGACCAACCCACTAGTAACTGGCCTATTCACCCACGGCTACGACACTGATCCGTTTTTCACCACCAGCACCAACAGCCCACTCATCACTAAGCAAGGGCCCTATTATCTAAAATCCGGTACCAATCGGATTTGGGTCCCTGCTTATCGGCTACTGCGGGAACTACTGATACAGGAAGCCCACGACTCAAACTTCTCGGGTCACTACGGGGTCAACAAAACTGCAAAAACTCTAGGTCGTCATTATTACTGGCCGGAGTTAACCCACGACGTGCAGCGGTATGTCACCTCGTGCGCCACGTGTCAGCTGATGAAGTCCTCCCGCCTCCGGCCAGCTGGATTGCTGCAGCCGCTCGCGCCACCCACCAGACCCTGGCAACAAGTGACGATGGATTTCGTCACAGGATTGCCGGCCGGCCCCAGCGGTAACGACGCGATTCTCGTCGTCGTCGATCGCCTGACCAAGATGGCTCACTTCGCCGCATGCAAGACGACAATTACGGCCGAAGAAACTGCCAAACTATTCCTGGCGACTGTCGTCCGCCTACACGGCATCCCATCGGCAATCATCAGCGACCGAGACCCGCGCTTCACGTCCAACTTCTGGACAAAAACGTGGGACCAGTACGGCACGCGCCTGCACCTATCGACGGCCTACCATCCTCAATTGGACGGTCAGACCGAGCGGACAAATTAGACAATGGAGCAGCTGATACGCACCACATGCACCGATCCGACACAGTGGGAAGAATCTCTTCCCTTGATTGAGTTCGCGTATAATAATGCCCCTTCGGCGACGACCAACCATTCACCGTTCTTCCTGAATTACGGGCTAGACCCTGTGACCCCGCTGTCGCCACCGATCGAAAATCCGGCGCCAAGGTCGAAGCGCTTCGTCAAGACTTTACGTAAGCATCAGCAAAAAGCCGCCGACGCCATCAACAAAGCCAACCAGATCGCTAAGCGGAATGCTGACCGAAGACGACGGGATCTTCCCCTCGCACCATGGCAATTAGTCCTTCTCGACACCAGAAATTTGGGGGTGCCCCTCCCAAATAAACTACGCCCAAGATTTTGCGGACCCTTCCGCATTATCCGAATGGTGACACCCATCACCGCC